ACATCATCGTCTATAAACTCCTTCCCAGTCATGTACAAAGACCCCCTGAAGCTTGTGAATTAAGACTGCCTTCAGCATGCTTATAAAGACCTCATCAGTTCGTCTATAATGTCACTTTACCACATCACCGATCACAACTTTATGCACATTCTCAATAGATTATTTTAATCATAATATATATGATCGTAATGAACTTCTAAATTAATCCCAGCTTGAAGAGATACAAGGTCTTTGGTTATCATTCTAACAATTAAATGTATTGAGATTAATTTTTATTTTTTCACAAGTTCTTATTGCAAAGAACGTACAATATACCGATCCACGTTTTCGGGGTTGTGGCATTGCAAATATTTTATTTCGATATAATATATGGGCGAAACGCGACGTACTTGGTTGGGGTGTTGTATCTCTCTTGATTTTATTTTCATTGCAATTTCGATCATGCACTTCATCTCGAAAGAGAAATAATAGATCTGAGAGAAATAGTGATGACCTGTAGTAGGTTTTAGGCCCTACTACAGTCCCCCTTTAGATGGTTATTAGAGATTTTTCCTTTTTTCAGGGTTTATTAAAGGATTTCAGAGATTTTTTTGGTTAGTCATTCATGGCCACAAATAGTTTTTCGATATCTTCAGCGCGGAATGATCAGAGCATGAGTGCGCATTGTAGACGTTTGAAATTTGCAGAAACTGTACCAAAGGCATCTGACAACCGATAAACTGGGTCGAACTACAATGTTTTGTCCGTATTCACGCTTGTGTGCCGGCAAAAATCATTGCTATTGATCTTCAGAGTTTAAACTCATCTAAAATCTGGAGACATTTTGCGATTTTTTCAGTTTTCCCATCTTCGAGCGTGGTCAACATAATTTCTTTAGATTCCTTTTTGAAGATCACGGAATGATGATCAAAGCTCTCAAAGTGTATGCTCAACTTCTCAAAATTAAGTGTGCCTTAATCAGAGAGTTTGCCCGTAAATAGCCTTGTGGATTCCGGTCTGGCATAGGTTTGAAATTTCATCGCTTTCATTGGAACTCTGGTGAAACATTTTCCATCCTTTCGCACAACCATTTGCCTCCTCCCTTTTTTGTCAAACATATCCTTCATCGAATAAAAGTTTCGCGATTTTCTGCTCTGCTCGGGGTTTTCTAGGATGCTTGCTAGTTTTGCCTTGGTCTGTTATATGCGGGAATTACACAATTTTACTCCACTGATGTTTAATTTCTATAGCATTAAGTACCATCCTCTAAGTCCTTCCCTTGACATGTTTCCTTGTTTTACTCCAGCGTGCTTAATAAGTATTCCTTCAGCCGGGTAGCTTCCTTCTTGATAACTCTGTGAATTTCAGCCATCACCAGAAATCATCGTGAACATCGTTGGACTATTGCTGACGAGGTAAGTGTGGATACAAACCAAACAGCATACATTGGCTACAAGATCAAGCTGATGGCTAGAAGACCAAGCTGATGGTATCAACGCACAAGACGTCCAGTAGACTCGGACCAACTATGGAACTTGAATACTACAGCTTCGGTGTGGTGAACGACCTCGGTACCGCCATAAACAAAACTAATAACATCAGCTTTGAAATCCGGAGGAAAAAATTATTGGCCAACAGATGCTCGCCAGACAAAACTCACACTCTACAAGACGCTAAAATTACCCATGCTGTTGTATGGATCTGAAGCATGGGTACTTGCTCAAGCAGATGAGACAGCTCTTGGAATGTTTGCGATAAAAATTCTCCGGAAGATATATGGGCCGATCTGCGTTGACGGTGAATATCGTCGTCGAATGCACCATGAACTATACCATATATTCTCGACAATCAGCATAGTCAGACGTATCGAGCGTATCGAGTTGAAAATGGATGATGATTCCCCCACTCAAAAGGCATATAAAAGTGAGCCAAGTGATGGTTCAATCTGAGGGGGAAAACCACGAATCCGATGGAAAGTTCAAGTAGAAGACAACATCTCGGAATATGGTCTTTCAAACTGGATGAGATGCGCACAAGACCGACGGGCTTGGAAATCTTTTTTAAGCTCGGCTTATGAAATAACCGTTCTATCACAAGCCAGTCAACAACTATGTAAAAATTAGTGACTCGAATCGATAGCCTGCTTTATACTACATATTTTTCAATATTTACAAAAAATTACCCCTAACTGGTAGACATCCAAAAAACACTAATTAATAAAAAAAAATAAAATTCCCGTTTCCCTTTAAATTTAATGCAAAGGAGTAGCTACCATAATAGGACCAAAAAGAAAAAAATGACATAAATGTGTCTGAGGTTATTTATTTTACCATAACAGAACCAAATAGGGGAATTTAACATAAATGTATCAGAGGTTATTTGTTTCTTACGGTAATTATAAAAATGGCATAACTGTACCTTACGAAAATCCGTACCCATTTAGAATATTCGTACACTTAAAGTACGATTTTTTTTTTTAAATATAGATTTTCAGACATTGTGTACATTTTCATAACGCCAAATTTTCTGTCGATTTAATTGTTAATTACAAGTCAACCATCACCACTACTCGCACTACTACATATATATTTTATATATACGGAAGATCTATTAAAAACAACAACACCAAGATCTTTGTCATTTATTCCGAAAATAGCATAATGTGTTTATTTCGAAATAGAATTCTTCTTTTCTTCTTCGTCGTTGTCCACTAGTGCTATATTTTCAAACACTATTCATGGATTGCATACTAAGTTATCGCTGAAAAAATCCCACTTTTTTGTGAGCTCGATTCGTCATCATTAGCACAACATAAACTACACAGATAATTTCCCAGTAATAATTTGAATAAATAAAATTCTAAAAAACACACACACAGCAACACCAAACAAAAACAATTTAAATACTTGTCGTCTCAAGACGTGTTTAATTATTACGTTTTTTTTTTCTCATGTGTGTGGTGGGGTGTGTTTGGTTCTGTTCTGTATTTTTGCTTTTTTTCAAATGAATTAAATGAATTGTTTTCGCAAAGTACCCATACTGCTCTCTTTATATTTCTCGGTACACCATATCCGTGATTTGGGAATGCAATTTTAAAATTAGAAATATTGGATCACAATTATATAGGAATATTTAAAAGAAGGTTGAAAGTAGGGGGTAGAAAGGTACTCAACGGTACTAAAAATGTTTTTTTTTTTTTGAAAATACGTTCAACATGTGTACGAAATTACTAAAATGTACTAGATTTCTTACTGTGGTATAGGGTAAACGCGCTGGAATCTTGAAATTTGGTGTAAGAGATCGCTCTTGCTGTATAGAATAATGAAAGGAGATATCGGAAATTTGGGACCTAATGCTTTCAAAATCGAAAACTACTGGAAGTGATATGAAAACAGTTGGAACTCTTGTGGTTCGAATAGTTCGTGCAATAAATATACTAAATGTACGAAATGGTACTTAATTTCATGCTCAGATTACGTTCTTAAATTCTAAGTCCGACAAGATTTTTTTTCAGAGCCTTTGTTTTACATAGCCCCCACTTACAATGCGTTAATCATTTTAAAAAGGTCCTAATTCTTTTTTGGCTGTTATTTGATATTTCAAGTTCTCAGAATTAGAAGAACTTCTGACCACTGGTTTTGGCAGTTCACAAAAAAATATAAAACCTCCGGTTGGATTATTTTCAATGTAGGTCTGTGTTTTAGGCATAGCCTAGCCAGTGCCCATTTTTTGAAGTAATCGACTGCTTTTCTATTTTCCATCCGAATTTGATATAATTAGAACATTCGAATTATCAAAGATAAAAAATACAAAAGAAAAAAAATATTTAAGTTACATTTAAATACTCTGTGGTAGTTGTGTACGTTATCGTAAGGTCGGCCCAGCTCGAATATCCCGTTCCACTCACTGGTTTCAAGTACTTGTTGGGAATTTTGGTTATAGGTTTTCAAAACCTTTTTCCGCCGGGTTCTCAAAAGATAAAATAACTAAAAAATATGTGTACATATATCCCCCATATACAAGAATCGCGTCATTTACGGAATATTAAAAGTCCATTTTTAAACATATTGCCTGCAATATGGAAAATTTCTTTGCTCTGACATAGAATCTCATATAGAGATTAGCTTCTATATCGCATCGGTATTTAAAAGGTAAATTTGTCAACCACATTGGCACCACATTTCGGATGTGGACGTCTAGGTGGGAAATTTTCAGTATAGATCTTTAGTTTGACATAGTCCAACATGTACCGGGCTAGCTCATTTTTGATATTGTAAACGCCCATTTTTTAACCACACTTCGGATCTAGACCTCCAGGAGGGAAAGTAAAAAAGACCTCCTGGCAAGGAATTTCTAACATAGGCGTATGCTTTAATAGAACCGCTTATTGTTGTTCTTTTTGACGGCCTATCCCGATTTTCCATCAGTTGTTTAAAGGTCTCAGACGACACTTTTTTAATTCGACATATTGGTTCAGATGGCAACGGAAATCCGATGTAGCCAGTTTATACAGCACCTGCATACTTCCCCAAAATATGCGGCCCTGCAACAGAAATATATACAAAAATATTGTTTTACTTAAACATAACGTCAATATAATGGTATTACCGATTTGTTTGTTTGGTTTTGGTTTGAATTTTATTTTTTTTCACATTTGGAAATGGTGTAAATTACCATTAACGTGTGTGTGAACTTGTGTCCAATGCGAAAAGTACATTACAAAGCAGTGCATTGTGATAACCTTTTTTTTCTTGATGGCCAATGGCTTGATGGGAATAGATTTAATTTCTCGTGGCTCTCAATTCTTCTCTCGCTCGCTTTCTCTGTCACTTTGAAATCGAGAAATAGCGACGACGACGACGCTTTCAATTAAATATTGATGATGCTGATGAGGCGATAATGTTTAAGCAGCAAGCCAGTGTTCAAAGCGGTTTGCCATTGATTTTAGTTCATTCATTAAATCTCTGGTGTGCGGTCGATCAGGATTTTCCTTAAAAAAAAACTTAGAAAAAAAACAAATAATGGAACTACTACCTCAGCTATTGATAATAGCCAGCTGTGTAATTTCGATATCGATTATTGACCAAGGTGTAGTACAGGCTATACCCACAACAACAACAACAGCCCCGGCTAAGCCGCAAGTTATTACCAAAGATATTGCCCGCTATGCCAAGGCCGCAGAGATACGCAACTACATGAATGTATCGGAGGATCCCTGTCACAATTTCTATACCTTCACCTGTGGTAATTATTATCGCATAAATCCACCCAATAAGCTGCCTTATCAATCGAATACCTTTCAAACCATATCGACTTCGTTAAATCGTAAAATTTCCACCCTGCTCAATCGGCCGAGAAGTGAGGAATATGACAGCGACACCGATATGAAGGTGAAGAGGTTTTTTGAATCCTGCATGAAATCGAATAATACCCGTATATGGTATCGTGTAAATATGAAACAGATTATTGAGGAGTTTGGAAAAATGCCCGCCTTGGAGGGTGATAGATGGCGTGAGGAAGATTTCGATTGGTTGAGGGTTATAGGGGAGATTGCCTATAAATATGATATTCGTATTATTTTGGGTCATTTCATACAAGTGGATTTGGCGAATAATACCGTTAATCGGCTGAGTGTGGTCATGCAAGATATCCCGCTGGAATCGACTTCTATATATACGGATGCGGTCCACAAATCATTTCGTGAGGCAAGGGTGCATGTTATGACCAAAAATTTGCGATCAGCCCTGGGCTTGGACGACAAATTGGCCAAGAAGACAGCTCGTGAAATATTTGAATTTGAAACGAGGCTATTTGCCGGTCAGAGTTTATCGGATGATCATAATGCTGTAGTTCAAGATCAAAACGAATACGCAGACGAAGAAGAAGAGGAGGAGGAAGGCGACGAAGAAGACACACTGGAGGATGATTCATCAATGCAACTTAATCTCACCACCATTGATGCAATGCAGGAAAGGTATATGCCCCAATTGGATATTCGGCGATTACTCAACATCTCTCTGGGCCATGTACCCGCAGAACCGCTCTACGATTTAATCGAAGATGATGCGGAAAATATAATCACGACAATATTGGAGACACCCAAACGCATTGTGGCCAATTATATTTTCTATTATTTAATTGATGAATTTCTATTGCCCGAACCCAGACAGGAATCAGATCTGGAGACCTTATGTATACGCCGTACGAAAAATCATTTTGCCAAGGTCATGGATAATATGGTGTATCGCCATTATGCCAGCAATCAAACCCAACAGGATGTACATGAAATGTGGCAAACGATAAAGAGTACCTTCCGCAGTGTCCTGCAATCGGATAAATTGAAATGGATGCATCCGGATACGCGTAAATATGCCCTGGAGAAATTGCAAACCATACGCATGGAGCTGAATACCTATGAAAGTTCGAATTTCACCGAAGAATTCGGTCCATTGGAAATTAATCAAATCGACTACATTGGCAATAAGAAAAATATTCTCAGACTTAAAGCCAAACAGACCAGGGCCAAATTATATGAACCACCACGTCCCTATGATGATCCCGAATCGTTGTCCTTTACCCCGGTTTACATTACCACAGAAAATCTCATTAAGGTACCCGTCTCAGTTCTACAACCCTATTTCCTTTGGTCGAATTTCTATCCCAATGCCTTGAAATTCGGCACCTTGGGTTTCCTAATGTCTCATGAGCTAATACACGGTTTCGATGAAGAAGGCCGGTCGCACGATGCCCAGGGCAATAAACAAGAATGGTGGGATCAGGCGTCCAATGATTATTTTGCCAATCAAACGGAATGTTTCAGCAAACAATATCGTAAATTTATTTACGGTGGCAAACCTCTACCCGAATTAGATTCACAATCGGAAAATATAGCCGATAATGGTGGAATACGCCTTGCGTACGATGCCTATTTACGTTGGTATGAAGATGCTGTACGATCGTATCGTAACATGGATGACGAGCTAATGCCACGCCTCCTCAATTACACCAGTAAGCAGTTGTTTTTCATCGGCTATGGGCAACTGTGGTGTAGTGCCACCCATCCATCGCTACGGAATTTTGTCTCCTCCACTGATGATCATGTGCCGGGAAAATATCGTGTCATTGGCCCGCTGAAAAATCTTGCAGAATTCTCAAAAGAATTTAACTGTCCCATTGGCAGTGATATGAATCCGAAGAAGAAGTGTATAATTTATTAGAGGCGTACACATCGATATATTATAGTACATATAGAGATAGAATACAGATGTACATACTAAAATGTTATAGTCAAAATTAAATTTTGTTAAGGTTGCGAAAAAAAAGAAAAATAATTAAAATTTTATAAAAAAAGTTAATTTAAATATCGTATTTTTTATATCTAGCAATATATTAGAAATCTAAATCTTAGAAAAATCTTTATTTGAGACTCACCCAATAGAGTATATATTTATATTTTTTGTCATCTTAATTGTTCCGATTCTCTTTAGCTGTAATTATTAAAAATTGTTGGCCCTTTGATATATATTGACATCCGTAAGGACCAAAAATATTTAACAAATTTATACGATATGTTAAGAAGAGGATACAATCTTCAGATTCAGGCATTTATTTTCATATCGAAGGATCAAAAATTAAAAAAAAAATTCTCAAGTCGAAGGACCAAAATTTGAAATCATTAAATCTATTACCATAACAAACTAGAAGCTTTATACTTTATAAGGAAACAATTTCATAATAGCTAGAATTTGTCTTAATATTTTATAAAATGCATTAATAATTCTTCGAGTTCATATTATGAGACTTTTAAAACTGAATCGTAACTCTACCGGCTTTATATGTACTACTATGTTTTATTGTTTTAAAATAGGGTCCTTTGAGTTAAGGAAATGTCGAAGAAGAAAATTATTTAATACGAACTATAATTGTTCTAAAGATTTTGTCTTTAGATATTTTGGTCCTTCGAGTTCAGCGTATTCGAAAATATGCTATGGTAGAACTTGACTTGAGGTCAATAATCACTTCCGACCCTATAAAGTATATATATATATATATTCTTGATCAGCGTAAAATTATATGAAGACTAAAGCATGTCCGTCTGTCTGTTGTAATCACTATTTAGAGCGTAGAGCGATTACAACGGATAGAAATGAGATAAATCGCCAATAATTTGCATAGTCTATTGTCTGGAGACAGGTCAAGTTCGAAAATGGAATATATCGGTCCACGTTTAGGCATAGCTCCCATATAAGTGTACCCCCAATTTTCGGTATTTTAAGGTTCTTGAGCGCGTTTTTCAACCGTATTCTTTGAAATTTGTTAAATTAGATTCATATTGGGTAACAAATGTCTCCACAAAAAATTATAAATATAGGTTAATTTTTTCGGGTAACCCCCATATAAGGGTACTCCCCAATTTTCGGAATTTTTGGGTTCTTGGGTCCATTTTCAAAGGAATTTGTTATTTTGCAGTCGTATATGGTAACAAATCTCACTTCCAAAAATGATTAATATTCCTTTTTAGGGTTAGTCCCCATATAACCCCCTCTTTTATATTAAAATAGTCATTTTATTTGTTCCGCTTTTTGGGTTTGTCCCCATTGTCGTATTCCTCTGAAGTAGGGAGATATTCTGTGCTCGAATGTATGTAATTCTAAACGATTTAATCGATTTATCAATCTGTTGTAATAATTATACCTTTGGAGGATTTCGAGGTAAAAAAAAATAGGGTATTAGGTTCGAGAATGAACTATATCGGCCCACATTTAGGTATAGCCTCCATATAATGATATCTACGGGTTTTCAGTATTTTTAATACTTAGCATGAAGGAAGATATTGTGATGCAAAAATATTAGGTTTGAAATTGAGCCATATCGTTTCTCAATTAGATATAGCACCTCATATAATGATAACCCCAAATATTCGGTAATTCCTACACGATGTAATCAATATTGATCCGGCTTTAGGTATAGCCTCCAGGGACGTTCGCATACAAATATTTTTCACACAATGACAATTTTCACGAAATAAAATCTTGTGTACGTTGGTGATGACCTCAGATAGCATTGCCCTCTAAATTGCGTCATCAAAATCGGTGCACGAAATTCTTGAAATTTGTATTTGGTGTACATTATGGTTTACAACAATCGCTTGGTACAATTGTTGGTATACTTTTTGGTATGTAGCCTATATTTTCATTTCAAGTGGAATTTATCTACATATTTAATATTTATATATTTTTGCCTCTTCAAGAAGTCCGAGAAACCCGAGTTTTGTTATTTGGTCCTTCGACTTGAGGCAACCATAATCATTCAAAATGATTGGATCTTCGACTATTAAAACTAAATTATAAAGTCGAGTGCTAATTATTATCGCATAAATCCCACCTACAGGTTGTCTTATCAATCGAATACTTTTCAAACCATCACGAATTAGTTAAATCGCAAAATGTCCACCCTGCCTTATCGGCAAAGAAGTACTGAATGTGACACCGATGTAGATATGAAGGTAGAAAGGTTCTTTGAACCCTACATTAAGTCGAATAATAATTGGTATGGTGAAGATATGAAAGATATTATTGAAGATTTTTGTAAGATGCTTTGTTTCGTCAAGTTCAGTTTATTAGAAACGACAATTAAAAACTGTATTATTATGTCTACAGGCTTTATAATAATATAATGAAATGTTTATAGCATTTTATTTTTTCAATATTTGGTCATTCGACTTGATAAAAAAAGTTCTTTTTTTTGTGTTTTGATGCTTTGAGCCATAATTTGCCACATATTTGTGGTCCTTCGGGATAAAATTAATTGCGTTTGGGCCTTGTTTAGACCATTGCACATATTAAAGGACTATGAAATCTAAATTAGTAAGTATAAATGTTGTTCATACTCTACCATGAAAAATGTTACTAAAGTTTTATGATTTTAAAATGTTGTCCTGACATGAGAAAATTTCTGAAGTTTTTGGTCCTTCGACATGACAATAACAGCAAACATTAAATTAAATTATTAAACTTAAATTAGCAATTCAAAAATTTGTATATACCCAAATATTTTTTTTCAAGACATTTTTAAGATTCCGAAGATTGTATCCTCTGAATCCAAAGATGAAAATCTATCGGTCCAACCTTAATGGTGTGGTGAAACTTTAATCTGAGGATCCAAATTGACCTAAACTTCGCCCGGTACTTCGCACATCGTAATATTTTTACGAAACCTAAACAAAGTCTGAAGTTGGCAACCATGGGTTCACCCATTTATCGTACCTTTCCCACAATGTGTCAACATTTTGAAAAATTGTAAGTCTTATATTAGGCGAATGTAGTATCCGATTTGATCTATCTATCCTGCTTTGAATCTATCGGTCCACTCCTTTTAGTACTTTCACCGCAGCGGGTCTAGTACCACAATTGAAATTTGATCAAAACTTCGCAAAAAGTAATATGGTGCGCCAGAGTTATTGTTGGGAAGCTTCTCTAACCTCAACGTATGACTGTTTGGCGTGTTTTACGGTTCAACGGAGTCATTGGAACTTCATGGTCGGAGTTGGAGTCGATCTGCACAACCATTAGTTACAAAAAGTCGGTGTTACGAGGCAGTTAAGTGACGAACAGGCCACCAAAATTATGCCATTAAACAACTTGCGATTTCTTCCTTTGGGACCATGTAAGTAAGAAGGTTTACGCCATTAGCCTAGTGTCAATTCAAAATCAGTGATGTATTTGATAATTCCTACTTGGTTATGCAACATTTATTGAAACGGATATGGCTCTTGAAACATGCTTGTGATAAAAATTCCTCTTATAAGTTTGTTATTGTACTGTGCCACAAGATTTCAGGGGATCGAAAATTCCTTTTGTGATCATATTAAGAACCCAAAAGTATTCGCCATATATAAACATTTTTATGTCAAAAAAATAATTTTTTAGCAATGATAACACTACGAAACAAAATCGAGCTCATAGTCTGGGATCGAAAAATTCCTCATGACGATGAAAGCCCTTTGCCCCCCTTTGGGATAAAGAAATCCATTATTTTTATATGAACTATAAGACTTTATTTAATATGCTTCTTAAGGTCCGATTTGGGCCAAATATGCACCGTTTGTTATATGATTTGTTGCCATTTTAAAGGTAACTTCATAATGCATCTCTGATAGATGTCCCATTCTCTATTTGCTCTAGTAGTCGATTTTCACAATCCTCCCTAGATACCAATTTTCTATCATTAAAGGAAATTTGCAATGCAAGAAAAACATGATAATCGCTTGGTGCCAAATCCGACCTATATAGCGGATGCATTAAAACATCCCAACCAAGCTACCGAAGTTTCTGGCGAGTAATTGTAGATGTGTGTGGCCTAGCGTTGTCCTGGTGGAACACGACACCTCTCCTGTTGGGCAATTCTATTTGTTTCTGGTCAATTGTAAATGGTTTAAACAGATTTATGGTCAATTTTTAGCTCCTGGGCGATGTTACGACTGCTGATATGCCGGTCAAAATCGATAATTTATCCGATTTTATCGATGTTTTCGACGACCGCTATACCTGTGAGAGGAGCATCTTTAACATCAAAAATTCCTGAACGGAATATACGAAACCAAAATTGCACATAATTGACTGTTAGTTACAGTATCGGAATCATAAATACCATTCAAAATTTTAGCCGCTTGGCTTGCATTTTCGCCTTTGTGAAAGGAAAACTGAATTTGCTCTTTGTTAACTTCCATTTTTAAAATCCTGTATGTAACAACTGAATGCACCAAACAAAAAACAGCAAAATATTTTTTGACTGCGAAATGTCACCCTTCGAACGATCATAAATCTGTAATTGAAATTGTTTAATCGTTACTTCACGAGTACAGTACAGCCATATGCCAAAAAATTATTTTTACACAAATTAATATTATATTGTGCCTCAAGATTTCAGGGGATTGAAAATTCCTTTTGCCGTTGATTCAAGGACCCAAAAGGAAAAAGCCGCCATAGGCCAAACTTTTTTTTTTTAAAAAAATCAATTTTTGAGCAATAATAACACTATGAAACAAAATCGAGCTCATAGTCTGAAATCGGAAATTTCCACATGACGATGAAAGCCCTATGTTAATAACCCAGAAGGTCAAATTCGGCTATTATTCCTTATGGAGAGGTGAGCCCTTGGCGGGTGTATTAAGAACCCAAAGGAACAAATTCGCCATATTTCAAGTTTTTGGGTTATG